TTTTTTTTTTTTTATAATTTTACTATTTTCATCTCTGTATGAACATATTAATCAAAATAGATATATTAAAGGATGGAAACACTCGTACATAACTGGTACATAAGAATTCTAGTTGAAATGATTGCTAAATGTAAAGAATGACAGGATAGAGAGAGAAAAGCTGTAGTGTTTCTCCCGGGATGAGGAAAAGGAAGGGCGGTGGGCAAATTTGAGGGTTGTGAGAGGAAGACGGAAAGGGGAAGAGAGACGAAAGGACGACGGGCGAGATTATGAGTGGAGGGTGAGAACGGGAAGGGGTGAGATATATAGAGTAGAGTGGGGGAAAAGAGGGGCCATAGCAGAAGGAAAGTATTGATCTGCACTAGCTATCCTACGTTTCTGTACACCTCCGTCACCGGGTATACCATGTTCATAGTATGTAATTCGTGCCATCTAGAACCGTCATGAATTTGAGTCTGATCTCTTCTCACAAATGTCATTTTGAAACCTCTGTTGATTTTAGCCAATGATGATAAAGAGAAAATATAAATTAATTCTTTTTTTAATTTAAATATTTATATATTGAATTTATACACCAATTTTTTTTCATTTATGTTGCTTAAATGATAGTAATTAATTAATTTATTTTTTCTAAAAGATAAATTTTTTTTAATGAATCGAATTATTGTCGATATAATTTGATATAGAATAAAAATATAAATTAAATTAATTTTAAAATTTTGAATTTTATTTATTTTGAAAATAAGATTTTAATTGTAAAATTATCTGGAAACTTATGTCCATCTTTAATCGTTTTTCATTTAATGCCCGTAATACCTTTTGCAACCATCTATCGATTTTATCGAGGAATCATAGATTTTAATGTCACCTAAAAATATAATATATTAATTTGTTAATGTTAATATTTATTTATGATAATAAGTATTTATACTAAATAAATAGAAAAATTATTGATCATATTCTTTTCCCAGTTATGAGTTGTAGACAAACGTGTCATTTGATCGATATCATTATTCCCAAACATCGTATATCTATAGATAATAAGTACATAATATTAACTTATAAAGTTCAAGGGGCAACAGATAAATATATGCCTGTATACCAATTTTCCTCGTGAAGAATTTCTTTAATATCTCAGATGAAACTAGATAATAATGTTTTCACGCACAACGTAGCGATGTATTAATAAGATCAATAGATCATTTCCAATTCATTACTTTGCCATGATTACATGCAATTTATTTCGGTAAGTTCGAGTACTTTTATTAAAATATATAAACTATATTTTTTCATTGTATAACTTTCATAATTTTATCCTTCAACAAAATTTCGATAATTAAATTAATATTTTATTATATACTTTGTTGTACGTGTTATTATTCTATAATTACTATTAGATTTCAATTTAATGAGAGTTTGTCGATGGCGACGCTTTCGCCGATGTGATTTTATAGAAATGGTCGAGGCGATGAAGAAGGTCGCCTCGCTGGATGTGGAGTTAACCGTCGAAGAGAGGAATCTTCTTTCTGTCGCTTACAAAAATGTGATTGGCGCGAGAAGGGCATCCTGGAGAATAATCTCCAGCATCGAACAAAAGGAAGAGAACAAAGGTGCCGAGCGGAAACTAGAGATGATCCGTCAATACCGATCTCAGGTTGAAAAAGAGCTGAAAGACATCTGCGCCGATATCCTCGGAGTTTTAGACAAACATTTGCTCCCATGTGCATCTACTGGCGAATCGAAAGTCTTCTATTATAAAATGTAAGTGAACGTGGCGAATTTTGATATAGATCTTCAATTAGGAAATTACTTGTTTTTGTATTCTTATTTTCTATTCTCCAAGTATATTTAGTGTTTACCAATTGTAAAATTGCATAGGTATATTGTAAATTTAAAAATATAGTTTGAAAATCAATAATAAATCAATAATAAATTAAAATAACTTAAATTAAAAAATAACTAATGGAACAGTTTTCGATCTAATTAACTTTTATATTATTTTCTGAAATAGTTGATAATGTTGCCTCGATAATTACATGAGTATAATCATTTCTTAGCGGATATGATTTATGAATAAGCGCAGATTCCATTTCATTGTATTCGTATAGCAAGAAATACTAAAATATAAATCTAGCAAAATTTTATTTAATATCTAACAAAATTTATTTATTTTACTACATTTACAAATAATCAATATTTATATTTATAATTTATTATATTATATATATATGTTGAATATCAATATTTTTTTATATACAAAATGAATGGAAGAAATTAGTAAAAAATATTTATAATATGTTAAAATATGTTATGATTTAAAAAGAAATTATGTTTATTCTAATAATTCTATAATAGATTTTAATTAAAGATTACAATATAAAATTGATGCAATATATTTTTAACATATATTATACTAAACTTGTTTATAAAGATAAAATTTTGACCTGTTATCGTAGGAAGGGTGATTATCACCGTTACCTTGCTGAATTCGCCGTTGGCAACGATAGGAAGGAAGCCGCAGAGAATTCTTTGGTCGCTTATAAAGCAGCAAGTGACACCGCCATGACGGATCTACCACCAACTCATCCCATCCGCTTAGGATTGGCACTCAACTTTTCCGTGTTCTATTATGAGATTCTCAATAGCCCTGATAGAGCATGTCGTCTTGCGAAGGCAGCCTTTGACGACGCGATCGCGGAACTAGACACCTTATCCGAGGAGAGTTACAAAGATTCTACCCTCATTATGCAGCTTCTTAGGGACAATCTTACTCTATGGACGTCAGACATGCAAGGAGACGGTTAGTATATCTTTTTGTAAAAAAAAAAAATTGCTCGTTGTGTTTAAAACGTTCACTACTACTACTACTAAACGGTAGAAGTTGTGTCGTACGATCAATAATATGTATTGCAGTAGCGCGATAAAATCTTCTCGTTATATATCAGATTTTTTCACGAAATTGTGTAGAGAAGATATAGAATTCTTTTTTTATTATTTAATAAAATTTATGTATTATACAGAATAATATAAAAAAATGCAAAAATTTTTGCAATTGAAACAAAAAAAAAAAAGAAAATAAAGTTTTCTATCAAGCAAGATATTTTTAGTTACATTATTCACATATAATTCTGTATAATGATTTTGAATATTATTGAAATGATGTATATATATATATATATTTATATATGGGTAGAGAATTATTGGTTTGTGATTTAGAGTTCGAGGCTGACCGCGAAAACGAGGCTGCCGCGGTTTCCACCAATGCTTGAACTCAGGCATCCTTTCCATACGCCCTTGCATTATAAAGTCACCTGGTGAGCAACTCGATCGATCCTTCTCCTCCTTCCTTCTTAAGCATTTAGATCCTTCAATTAACAGGGTAGGGTTGAAATAACTCACACCCAACTTTTAATTATGAGTTGAATCGACCTCACCCTGTCAGTTTGTTATATAATTGATATTTTTATTATCGAATCAGAACACGTTTATTAACAAATTTTCTTTTTATGTTACATAGGGGAGGGCGAACAAAAGGAGCAATTGCCAGATGTGGAAGATCAGGACGTATCGTAACTCTAACTGTAGTGAGTGTTATATTGCGTATATAAAACTGAAAAAACACAAGAAAGCAAAAAACTCTTAATAACTTGTAAGCAAACTTGTAAGAAAACAATTCAGCAGGTGGCAGTTCGGGGTGGGAAGGGGAGATCTTTAAACGATTGCGTGTTCTAAGC